AATCGCAATGAAATAATTGTTGTGTAACGGCTGTCGCTGGTGTCTAGGTGTTGCTGATACAGTTGTGAACGTCCGTGGCTGTATATGTGGTGACATGTTAGGACTATAATGAGTTTAAGACTTAATGAGCCTCTTAAGTGAGGACGCCAGCACTCTTTTTTTCTCTATATTTTAAAAAAAAAACAAAATTCCTAGCCTTTCCGGTGGATCACTAGGCTCGTGGATCGATGAAGAACGCAGCAAACTGCGATAAGTTTTGCGAACTGCAGCAGCCTTGAGCATAAAAGTTTTGAACGCATATTGCCGCATAGGGGTCAAACCCTTTGCTATGTCTGGTTCAGGGTCATTTTCTTTCAAAGCGAAAGCTTTATTGTATAATTGCTTTTGTGGCTTCTTTATGTTTTAAATTGATTGTTAGATATGTTTAATTGTTCGCATGTATCATCAACAATATTAATTTTTTGACCTGAACTCAGTCGAGAGCACCCGCTGAACTTAAGCATATCAGTAAGCGGAGGAAAAGAAACTAAACAGGATTCCCCCAGTAACGGCGAGTGAATAGGGAAATGTCCATCGCTAAATCATTTTGCCTAAGGCATTATGAGGTGTAGCGTATAAGCCGTAATTTTTAATCTTTTGTCTCAAATAAGTCCCCTTGACAGGGGTTCCACAGAAGGTGCAAGTCCTGTACATTGAGATAATTGATCGATATTTACGTGCTTTAGAGTCGGGTTGTTTGGGATCGCAGCCCAAAGTCGGTGGTAAACTTCATCTAAGACTCAATATTGCCACGAGACCGATAGCAAACAAGTACTGTGAAGGAAAGTTGCAAAGCACTTTGAAGAGAGAGTTAAAGAGGACGTGAAACCGGAGAGGTGGAAACGGATAGAGTCGGCGTATCTTTCAAGTATTCATTTACATTATTTTTATGTTGTGATCTCTGAGCTCCAGATTGGGACAGAAAGAAGCATCATAATTTTCTGTGATGCATTTGCTTGTTTGGTGCTTGGGGATGTTTGAGGCAGATTTGTAACCGCCGTTTTGAGGCCAGCTTGCTGGTACCCAAACAGCGTTAGCATCTTTTGTCTTGGACATTTGAGTATGGTTTACGGGCATTTATTGGTTCGATCTGATTGTAAGTTACGGTCGCATGCGACACGTGCTTTTCATTTAGATCGGTCCAGTTAATGCTCTCGTACTCGCTCCCCATGTAAAAGCCGGTCATCTATCCGACCCGTCTTGAAACACGGACCAAGGAGTTTATCGTGTGCGCAAGTTTTTGGGTGTTAAAAACCTAAAAGCGAAATGAAAGTAAATGGCTCTTTAGAGTCTGACGTGCGATCTTGTAAAAAAGGGCAGCATGGCCCCATTCTAACTGTTTACAGTAGGGTGGAGGAAGAGCGTACGCGGTGAGACCCGAAAGATGGTGAACTATTCCTGAGCAGGACGAAGCCAGAGGAAACTCTGGTGGAAGTCCGAAGCGGTTCTGACGTGCAAATCGATCGTCTGACTTGGGTATAGGGGCGAAAGACTAATCGAACCATCTAGTAGCTGGTTCCCTCTGAAGTTTCCCCCAGGATAGCTGGAGCTCATTAGTAGTTATACTCGGTAAAGCGAATGATTAGAGGACTTGGGAACGAAATGTTCTTAACCTATTCTCAAACTCTAAATGGGTATGATGTCAAAGTTGCTTGATTTTGAACTTTGGCGTTGAATACGAGTTCCAAGTGGGCCATTTTTGGTAAGCAGAACTGGCGATGTGGGATGAACCAAACGCGGAGTTGAGGTGCCAAAGTGCCCGCTCATTAGACACCATAAAAGGTGTTGGTTGATACAGACAGCAGGACGGTGGCCATGGAAGTCGGAATCCGCTAAGGAGTGTGTAACAACTCACCTGCCGAATCAACTAGCCCTGAAAATGGATGGCGCTGGAGCGGGCCACCTATACTCTGCCATCATATGCTTGTATTTTCCGTGAAAAGTCTTGCAATGACGTGTAAGAGGGTCGTAGTGGTTGCAATGAAGGCTTTGGGTGTGCACCCAGCTGGAGCTTCCACTAGTGCAGATCTTGGTGGTAGTAGCAAATATTCAAGTGAGATCCTTGAAGACTGAAGTGGAGAAGGGTTCCACGTGAACAGTAGTTGAATGTGGGTCAGTCGATCCTAAGGCACCGGCTAAAGCCGTCTAGACACTGCGGGGAGATGAGATACTTAACGGTATATTGTCTACTCGGTTGCCGAAAGGGAAGTGGGTTAATATTCCCACACCAGGCATGGGAGATGGTGATCCGCAAGGATTACTTTGCGCGGTGACGCAAACGAACTCGTAGACCTCGTGTGGAGTCCGGGCCAGAGTTCTCTTTTCTGGTTTAGAGATCATGTCCCTGGAAGTGGCTCAGCCTGAAATAGGGATGCTGGTCTCGTAAAGCGCAGCGGTTCCTGTTGTGTCCCGTGTGCTCCACATGAGCCGTGAAAATACGAGGGAGGCAATTTAAAATCTCCTGCCTGATCGTACCCATATCCGCAGCAGGTCTCCAAGGTGAACAGCCTCTAGTCGATAGAATAATGTAGGTAAGGGAAGTCGGCAAATTAGATTCGTAACTTCGGGAAAAGAATTGGCTCTAAAGGTTGGGTCAGTCGGGCTGTTGTGTGAAACAGGTGCTGAGACTTAGCCCTTGATCGGATGATTTGTCTTTTTTATATACTATAGACATGTTTATCCAAGTGCCGTAGGCCAGAGTGCATTGTCAAAAGTAGACCCAGGCAATCAAATTTCACCAGGCATTTTTGGTTTATGAGTCTGTGACGATCCGATTAAAAATTGCCTCAGGCAAAGTAGACCAAAGTGCAATTGACCAAGTGTCGTAGGGTAATAGGGTTCCCCCAGGCAATCAAATTTCACCAGGCATTTTTGGTTTATGAGTCTGTGACGATCCGATTAAAAATTGCCTCAGGCAAAGTAGACCAAAGTGCAATTGACCAAGTGTCGTAGGGTAATAGGGTTCCCCCAGGCAATCAAATTTCACCAGGCATTTTTGGTTTATGAGTCTGTGACGATCCGATTAAAAATTGCCTCAGGCAAAGTAGACCAAAGTGCAATTGACCAAGTGTCGTAGGGTAATAGGGTTCCCCCAGGCAATCAAATTTCACCAGGCATTTTTGGTTTATGAGTCTGTGACGATCCGATTAAAAATTGCCTCAGGCAAAGTAGACCAAAGTGCAATTGACCAAGTGTCGTAGGGTAATAGGGTTCCCCCAGGCAATCAAATTTCACCAGGCATTTTTGGTTTATGAGTCTGTGACGATCCGATTAAAAATTGCCTCAGGCAAAGTAGACCAAAGTGCAATTGACCAAGTGTCGTAGGGTAATAGGGTTCCCCCAGGCAATCAAATTTCACCAGGCATTTTTGGTTTATGAGTCTGTGACGATCCGATTAAAAATTGCCTCAGGCAAAGTAGACCAAAGTGCAATTGACCAAGTGTCGTAGGGTAATAGGGTTCCCCCAGGCAATCAAATTTCACCAGGCATTTTTGGTTTATGAGTCTGTGACGATCCGATTAAAAATTGCCTCAGGCAAAGTAGACCAAAGTGCAATTGACCAAGTGTCGTAGGGTAATAGGGTTCCCCCAGGCAATCAAATTTCACCAGGCATTTTTGGTTTATGAGTCTGTGACGATCCGATTAAAAATTGCCTCAGGCAAAGTAGACCAAAGTGCAATTGACCAAGTGTCGTAGGGTAATAGGGTTCCCCCAGGCAATCAAATTTCACCAGGCATTTTTGGTTTATGAGTCTGTGACGATCCGATTAAAAATTGCCTCAGGCAAAGTAGACCAAAGTGCAATTGACCAAGTGTCGTAGGGTAATAGGGTTCCCCCAGGCAATCAAATTTCACCAGGCATTTTTGGTTTATGAGTCTGTGACGATCCGATTAAAAATTGCCTCAGGCAAAGTAGACCAAAGTGCAATTGACCAAGTGTCGTAGGGTAATAGGGTTCCCCCAGGCAATCAAATTTCACCAGGCATTTTTGGTTTATGAGTCTGTGACGATCCGATTAAAAATTGCCTCAGGCAAAGTAGACCAAAGTGCAATTGACCAAGTGTCGTAGGGTAATAGGGTTCCCCCAGGCAATCAAATTTCACCAGGCATTTTTGGTTTATGAGTCTGTGACGATCCGATTAAAAATTGCCTCAGGCAAAGTAGACCAAAGTGCAATTGACCAAGTGTCGTAGGGTAATAGGGTTCCCCCAGGCAATCAAATTTCACCAGGCATTTTTGGTTTATGAGTCTGTGACGATCCGATTAAAAATTGCCTCAGGCAAAGTAGACCAAAGTGCAATTGACCAAGTGTCGTAGGGTAATAGGGTTCCCCCAGGCAATCAAATTTCACCAGGCATTTTTGGTTTATGAGTCTGTGACGATCCGATTAAAAATTGCCTCAGGCAAAGTAGACCAAAGTGCAATTGACCAAGTGTCGTAGGGTAATAGGGTTCCCCCAGGCAATCAAATTTCACCAGGCATTTTTGGTTTATGAGTCTGTGACGATCCGATTAAAAATTGCCTCAGGCAAAGTAGACCAAAGTGCAATTGACCAAGTGTCGTAGGGTAATAGGGTTCCCCCAGGCAATCAAATTTCACCAGGCATTTTTGGTTTATGAGTCTGTGACGATCCGATTAAAAATTGCCTCAGGCAAAGTAGACCAAAGTGCAATTGACCAAGTGTCGTAGGGTAATAGGGTTCCCCCAGGCAATCAAATTTCACCAGGCATTTTTGGTTTATGAGTCTGTGACGATCCGATTAAAAATTGCCTCAGGCAAAGTAGACCAAAGTGCAATTGACCAAGTGTCGTAGGGTAATAGGGTTCCCCCAGGCAATCAAATTTCACCAGGCATTTTTGGTTTATGAGTCTGTGACGATCCGATTAAAAATTGCCTCAGGCAAAGTAGACCAAAGTGCAATTGACCAAGTGTCGTAGGGTAATAGGGTTCCCCCAGGCAATCAAATTTCACCAGGCATTTTTGGTTTATGAGTCTGTGACGATCCGATTAAAAATTGCCTCAGGCAAAGTAGACCAAAGTGCAATTGACCAAGTGTCGTAGGGTAATAGGGTTCCCCCAGGCAATCAAATTTCACCAGGCATTTTTGGTTTATGAGTCTGTGACGATCCGATTAAAAATTGCCTCAGGCAAAGTAGACCAAAGTGCAATTGACCAAGTGTCGTAGGGTAATAGGGTTCCCCCAGGCAATCAAATTTCACCAGGCATTTTTGGTTTATGAGTCTGTGACGATCCGATTAAAAATTGCCTCAGGCAAAGTAGAAAAAAAAAAAAAAAAATTGCCTCAGGCAAAGTAGACCAAAGTGCAATTGACCAAGTGTCGTAGGGTTCAGGCAATAGGGTTCCCCCAGGCAATCAAATTTCACCAGGCATTTTTGGTTTATGAGTCTGTGACGATCCGATTAAAAATTGCCTCAGGCAAAGTAGACCAAAGTGCAATTGACCAAGTGTCGTAGGGTTCAGGCAATAGGGTTCCCCCAGGCAATCAAATTTCACCAGGCATTTTTGGTTTATGAGTCTGTGACGATCCGATTAAAAATTGCCTCAGGCAAAGTAGACCAAAGTGCAATTGACCAAGTGTCGTAGGGTTCAGGCAATAGGGTTCCCCCAGGCAATCAAATTTCACCAGGCATTTTTGGTTTATGAGTCTGTGACGATCCGATTAAAAATTGCCTCAGGCAAAGTAGACCAAAGTGCAATTGACCAAGTGTCGTAGGGTTCAGGCAATAGGGTTCCCCCAGGCAATCAAATTTCACCAGGCATTTTTGGTTTATGAGTCTGTGACGATCCGATTAAAAATTGCCTCAGGCAAAGTAGACCAAAGTGCATTAAAAAAAGATTACGACAC